AATAAAAGTTCCATTGTTTTTTTTCATATAAATAATTCATAAAATGATCTGATACGTCCAAATTAGATCTTAAAGATTATTTACGATTCGTAGAAGTAGAACAAAAGGTAGAATATTTCATTTTAATATTTTCATTTAGACTCCTTGAAACGATTGAGGGATATACCGGAAGAAAAATTGAGCGAATAAAGAGCTTACCTGAGTCTTTACGTCGCCGCCAACGCTAACCTTAGATTGAAAATTGCTCCGATCTATGAGGATTTTAGCGTTATTTATGTAGACTTCTTGACCGTGAGTGCCTGGTCTCCTGGTGACCCACAAGGGTGGATTACCCTCTAACTCCGACGAGATTGAGTCTCCTAGATTCTCGATCGTCTTTGGGAAATTCGCTGGAACAAGAAAACGAATATTTTCTATTTTTTTCTTTTTCATATTTTTTTCAATAAAGAATTTTAACGATATTTTCTAATATATTTATGATATAACAGGGATATACGTGGGTAAAGGTAGAATTTCGGTATGAATTAAACAACAGAGGAAATTTTAGGATTACAACGTTCAAAATAGAACTTCTCGAATTATTAGCGATGAAATCAATTTAACAGAGGAATATTCATGCACCATTGCATTAATACTGATTTAGAATCATTTCAATTACTATTTGCTCGGTATTATCTATTCCGATGATTTTATAAATGATAAACTAAAATTAATCCGTTAAATCGAGGTAGATTTGAATTTCTATTTTCTTAATATCTACGTTCTTCAATTTTTTAATAAAATATCGAACGATTAAATTTTTTGCATAAATCTTTTGCAACAAAATCGATTCAAAAAATGATCGTTCGTCATTATGTGACAGTAACATTAGCAATAAAAATAATTTATAATCCTTTAAATTACAATTTCTGTTATAAAATAGTATAAAAACAAAAATATTCTACATAACTTATATATCTTTCATAAATCATTCGCGTGTTATCAACAATAAAAAAAAAATAAAATATATATTTCGATCAAATATCAAATATCAAATATATCGCGAAAAAAACATATGATATAAAATTTTTTTTCGATCGTAATAATTTTATCATTCTCTATCTACCTTCTCCAATCTCTCTTAAACGCCAGCGCAGTATCACTTAAACGCGGAGGGAGGCACAGTTTCCAGGAAAGGGCCGTAAAACTGGCAACAACTGGAATAAATAGGACAGAATCCCGCAAAGTACAATCCATCAAACGTGTTGCCTTCTCTTCTCATCGTCGGCCACGAGCCAAACCGTAAAAAGATCGTTCTCGCTCGAATCCAAGCTCGTCACCGAGCGCAAAAATTTTATTTTCAACCGCAACGAGCACACGCGAATTACGAGAGCGCGGAAACGCGGAGGGGACAGGTTGGAATAAAACAAAAACAAAAAAAAAAAAAGGAAAAAAAAGGAAAACAAAAAAAAGGAAGAAGGAAAGAGAAGGCAAAAGAAAGACCAGGAAAGAGATAAAGCTCGAACCAAAAGGGAGGAAATGGGAGAAGAGGTGGTAAAGAGTTCGCCGCGAAGCTACAAAGCTTGGTCTCTTTATTATCTCGTTACCGGCTAGAATGTCCTCGTAATCTTTGAGCTTTTTTCCACTCGGTATCTACCTTGGACTTCTACGATAGTATAGATAACGCTCTGCATTTTGCGGAGAAAAGTTCAATCTCGGCGGTAAAAGGAGCTGGAAGATGCGCGATGGGAGCAACAACAATGACGCTCATTACGAATGCCATGGATTGGGTCCTGTTTCGTTAAATTGCCAGCTGTTTTCAAAGCTTTCTCAAACACTGATCTCCTTAGATATTCATGGATCCATAGCTATGGTTAGATAAATCGGTGAAGGGTCATCCCTAGCTTGTGACATTTCGGTATAATTTTATAAATTCGTATAATATTAAAAATAATAGGTTATCTAAAAAACTTAATTTTGTTTCGTTGAATTGTTTTTCTAACCGATTAAGAAATATCTCGATTTTCTTGAATCTTCGAACTTTAAATACATTTTCTTCTTTTCTTTTTGATATTTTTTATAATCTTAAAAAATTGCAGCTTGGCTATCCGGATACAAGCTTGGCCAACATAGAACAGAAAAGTTTTCGCGCGGAGTGAATATAAATCGATCGCGCAAACAGCTTTGTACGAATATTCTCGTTTTGTGGTCTGGGGGAGGGGGGGCCATCGCACCTGTGCCCCAAGGGGTTCCCCGCCGGAAAATAAATGGGATTCGATCGAGGACTTAATCATCCGCCTTCGTTGAAAGGGACGTCTGGGACAAAACGATGCAGAGACGGGGGGGAGGGGACCTATTGATCGTTCAATGGAACATATTTGTCTAGATTTTTCGATCGTCGTACGTGCGATTCGTCGCCCCCCACGATGAATAATGCCTCCGCTTTTATTTGCTCCCGGCTGCCTTGTTCACGGGTGTAATTTAACGGTATCAAAGATTTTCTTGTTTCCGCTTGCCAGAGATTAATGGCGGAATGCGGCAGTAACGTTTATGAGTTATGCACTTTTTCTCGTTATATTTGGGATTGTGTGGTGTAATTTTTTAATTAAAATTTTTACTACTCCTTATTTACTTCTAATTTATATTTAAAAATAGGATTTTTTTATATTGCTTTTATCGAGATATGTAAATTGAAATGTAGTTTTTAAAGAATATTAATTTTATCGGCATGATTTTGTTTTTCGTAAAAAATATTCATTTTCATTCAGTTAAATGTCGTTATATTTTGTTCTCAATATTTTTTCTATCATTCTATTCGGATTTTACGATTAAATTTCCAAGAAATGCATAAACTTTCATATCTTCCAATTATCAATCTTCTTTATTCCTTGATATCAAATATAAAATATTCTCTTCTTTTCATTTATCAAATTAATACATGAGAATATGATAATTAAAAATATCATTTATCCTTCAAAATTACAATTAATCTTATTCAAAATTGTTTAATTAATCGATAAATAAATCTATTCTCGACATTATACAGTATGTCATGCATGTCTATCGTCCATTTTATATAATCATATTCATTTCCATGTTTCAACCTTTTATTTCCTCATTTATCACTATATTTGCATATATGATCTTCGATTAAATCTCTCCCTTTACAAAACGAAAAGATTTCCAGATAAGTTTGCGATCAATCCTCTCTCAGAGTTCTGAAAGAACGCGAATTCAACTAAATCTGGATCGCAAAAACGATCCGAAACCGAAGAGGGTGGACAAGTTTCCGCTGATGCGACGATAAAATGGTTGGCCAGCTCGCCATCAAACGTAAAGAAACACGAGAACGGTCGGATTCAGGGACTTGTCGAAACTGTTGTCACTCTCTCAAACCTCGTTTTCACAGTTAAAGAAAATGATTCTGTTGGAATGGAGGATTTTTCCAGTAGAAAAAGAGATATTATCAAAGGTGTAGCCAAAAGTTTAGAAAGGAGGAGGACAAAATAAATTTTATTTCAATTAATTATTTATCTTTTTAGAAATATTGTTGGTCAAGAGGTGGTCATAGATTGATTTATTTTTCATTGATATATAGAACATTCAATCTCAACAAAATCCTCGTGCAAAACTTTTCAATTTTTTATTGTGATCCATTTCGATTTTTACTTTGGAAAAATAAAAATTCCAAAAAAAAAAAAAAAAAAAAAAATATA